TTTTTCTCCAGTCTACTTAAAACATCTCATATAAGCTCATAATTTTAAAACGACTTTGATTATCTCAGACAAGGTTGAGCTGCAGCAAAATCAGCCTTGCTGCATCGGAAACAAGCTAGACAAAGAGCATGCTAGTATTTTCCCCTGCCTGTTACTTCAATACTATAAGCCTTGATAAATTATACAACTTTCCAAAATGCTGCTCATAAAAAATGTGGCTGGTAAAAAAAAGTGTCTGGCAGGAAATAAATGACAGCTGGTGGATTTCTGAATCCACCAACCACAGTGGCAGGTAGAAGAAAAAGTTAATTTCCAACCCTGCTCTAGAGCCATTTACAAAGAAGGACAGGGGTGTAACAGCAGCACCAGCCAACTTAACTTCTGACTTGTCCGGGTTTATTCACTTTCATCCAGACCTTTTTACTTATAAAGTTCACTTTTGCTGCTTTTACTGCCCGTGTCCTTCTCTTTGTTTCACAGCCATTGTTTTTTCATGCAGAATATAAACTCTGGTTGTCTTTTAGTCCCCACATCTCCTCTATTCCCCGCAGCCATTTCAATCAACATTTCTAACGGCGATTCCAATCATCCATAAAACTCTGACAGAGCTACCAAAACCCTCAGAGGGGGTCACATTAAGAGGAGACCCGGTAAAGCTCAAAGTATTGAATCAAAGTCATAGTGGGGTCTAGTGTTGTTTAAAGTTCATTTTAAAGTTCCCTTTTCCATCACAACCTTCTATAGACGAACTCACATGATCACCACATTCTCAACAGTCCACTGAGTTCAAGACCCATTATCGACACGTCCAGCCCGCACTCACCCGCACATTCACAGTGGAGCCTTACAGCTGTGCCGTTCTACTCATCAATTCAACAACCATGGACACAAACTGTGTCTGTATTTCCCAACAAAGACCGCCTTGGAAATGTATGGATTATGTTTCTGAAAGTGTCCACGTCCAAAAGCAATCCCCAGGTCAAATCTAATGCCCTTTTAATCCTCACCCCCTTAAGTGAATTCTTAGACCACATCAACAAAGATGAAGGTGAGTGCACTGTAAGGGAAATGGCTCTTGGGGTTGTATTTGGACGGGTTTTTTTTTTAATACGTCTTCCAGTGTGTTCTAAAAATGTATTCTCTTCTGCTTTTGTGTTGAACCTCAGGCATTTTTATCAATTGGGGTTTTTGATCTCCTTATAGTCAATAAAGTTCATGACCGATTGTCCACAAGATCCAGCTGCTGTTTTCCAGCTAATCTCCAATTCCAATGCTAATGACTGCATCTTTTTACGGCTACATGGATGGCTGAGCTAATTAGGCACTCTGGTCAATACTATTATTTCCATCATAATCGACACAGCACACTTCATAACAGCTCTCCACTCTGCCCCATTCAAAACATGAAAAATGCCCTTTGTATTTATGCTGGTTAACCATTTACAAGTTCTGTCAGGCTCTAGAACTCTAGACAGTCCCTCCAGGATTTTGTAGGCTTTTTTCATAATTAATTAATTAAAAAATCATTTTTAATAATTATGTTTTGGGGAGGATTTTAATGCTTTTATTATTTTATATACAGTATGCCTTTATATAGGACAGTATAGTCAGAAATCAGGGAGAGAGAGCGGGGAAAAACATGCAGGAAAGGAGCCACAGGTCGGATACACCACTGGTCTCGCTTAGAGGATTATGCCTCTGTACATACGGCCTCCCCTCAAACACTAGACTTACCTGCAACCCTAATTTGCATCAATAGTTGCAATTAAGACATTGGGATTTCATTGAGGGACTGTCTAGAACTTACTCTAGAGAAATAGAACCAGCTCACACACATAGCACTGAAGAAGTTACGAGCTGCAAGTCATACGCCTATGTCATTAAGACAGTGGACATTTCTTTAGAGAATTGTAACTTTTCCCGCAGCCATATTGGAGTCACAATGGAGTCACAATGCACTAAAACTGGATCTGGTGGACATTTACAATAATAAAAGCTGCAGAAGATATAATGCAAAGTATTGCATGAAGTATGTTTTGTCTCAACCCAACAGGGAGAGGGTAATCAAATTAAAGAGAAAACACAACAAAAATGCCCTTGGGTCACACAAATAATCATGTCTAGGAAATTTAGACCCAATGACCTGACCGGCCAGGGTGGTCAATAAAAAAACACAGAGGTGGTGTTAAATATGAGGAAGGAAATGCAGAAGGCAGGTGCCTTTTCATCCATCGTCATTGCTTTTCAAAATGAGGATTAAGTGCAAAGTATTGAGAGATGAGCTTAAATCAGTGAGGGAGAGGAGAGACAGCGGGAGCTAAATAATATCTCTACACCAAATATCTTTCCCATGTTGGTTCTTTACTCAAAACTAATTACATAGATGCCAGCACAATTTAAAGCAAAAGCAGCTTAAACTCCTTTCTTCATAGAAAGCGCCTCTCCTATTCGCTCTGTGGAGTAGAAAAGAGTGGAAGTGAGAGCAGGGGAGTTGGAGCATGCAGTGTAATTTAGCCTCCTAAACTTTCACCTTTTCTTCCCACACTTTCTTCCTTACTCTTTCCCCCCCGGAGAATAGTTGAGCCTTAACCAAAAGGTTTCTCTCTCTCTCTCTCTCTCTTTGCTCCCATTTCTTTTTCTTATCCTCTTGTCTCTTGGTCTGTCTCGCTGTCTTTGCCACATCTGTAACAGGAGAGGCATTGCACGCTTAGTGTCTGAAATTACTTTTTTAAGAAAGTTTACCAATATATTTCCATTCTCAGTTATATAAGAGTATTTCTCTTGGCCTTAAATGTAGTTTACTGAAATAAAATAGAAATAAGTAGGGAATAACAGCAGGGAATGTTGGAGCATATTTAGATGAATGAGGAAATATACTGTAGGGCAGGAGGGGGAAAAATAACTAATACTATTTGTGAGTTTTAATGTCTGCTTTAGCTTACAGTGCACCTGCAGACAGAATCTAGAACAGGGTAAAAACAATGTTTGCTCACCCATAGATGATGGAGGATCCTGCAAATAGGGGCCCCTAGTGAACTAACTAAGCTGTTGTACTCCACAAGGGCTAAACCTGACTGTCCTGATTCAAAGACATGTTCTCAGACATACCCAGGTTCTTTAAACCTGCTTCATCAGTGTCTTAAAGGTCCAACTTTTAGTCTCATTTATATCCAGCAGAAGATAAGATGAGGAGGTATTGCTGCAGTGGTTCTGAGCTGCTGAGAAGCAAAACAGCTGACTGAGTATGTCATTCTGCCTTAGTGCATGTATTTGAAAAGCCAAACCAAGCACACCAGAGGCCACATTATTTCCACTTTCTGGCACGCACATCTCCATAGGAGTTCAGAAGCAGTTCAAATTTCAACACTAGCTGCCCTGTGGTTCAGCCAGTACTACCAGCTTTCAGGTTCATCTCCCCTGTTGTAAATATCAATAATTACCAGCAGGTGCAAAATAAGCTCTCAGCAAAAATGACCCTGAACACATATGCAGAATAATTAACTTGAAGGCTCTCAGCAGAGAGCAGCCCTCTGACAAACCGAAGCAACCCTCTTATTTGCATGGGTTCATTATTTACCTTAACAGCAGAGGTGAGCAGCATTTATTCTAGACAGGGGGGTAAAGGCTTCCACATCTGTGTCCAATTCAGATTTTTTAAGCCTAAAGTCTGTATTTGATGCAGTTTACCACGCTGCAGTCCAAGCGAGTAGGAACTAGTGTTTGTTATAACTCAGGAGATGCAATTTGGTGGTAGTAATTTGTGCCAAGTGTGTACCTCAGCTCTCTGGGAAGAGCCTCTCTCCCAGATGACATAGAAACCAGAGGGTACCCACCATGCATTGCACACATACATACAATAAATAAACCCATGGGAATCATTCCAGCCCAGCACGGCAACAGCCACAGCAGCACACCTGGGCTAATTTAACTCCAAACACCCAGAGGACTTTTGAGTGTGTGGGTGTGTGTGCTGTTCCCTTTCCCGTATGACCCAAAACCTCTCCTTCACTGATAAAGCAATAAGATAGATAGATAGATAGATAGATAGAGAGAGAGAGAGAGAGAGAGAGAGAGAGAGCGCAAGAGCAAGCCTTCTCCTCTCTTCCTCATCCTAATTCCCATCCCATACATCCATCAGTCATCTCCAAAGCGGGGAAAAGGTGAGAAACAGAGTGATGGATGAGTATGGAAAAGTTTTCTCCTGCGTTATGTTCTCCTGAGGATGGAAGTGAAAGGAATAAGGTGAGGCTGAGTCACATGACGATCAGGGAGTCAGAGAGAGACATAGTCAAATTTGAAGACAAAAATATCCTGACAGCAGTCCCCTCAAAGGAGTCCCCCCCCTCTCTCGCTCTCTCTCCCTCCTCTCTCTCTCTCTCTCTCTCTCTCTCAATTTTCAATTCAATTCAAATAGCTTTATTGGCATAAATGTGTAAAATATATTGCCAAAGCATATAATAACATATAATACAATAGTAATAATGAAAAATAATAATCTCTCTCTCTCTCTCTCTCTCTCTCTCTCTCCCTCTCTCTCTCCCACATACACACACTTTAAGCAGTGCTCTTTATCTCCCTTCACACTCGCTCAGGGGAGAGTTCATTTTAATAATTGCTGATCAAAGCAGAAGAATTGATTTGATTAGTCATGACTGCAAACCCCAGGAGTGCTAGGCTGGAGTCTCTCTTCCTCTCTGTCCGTTATCTGATCTGCCTCTCCCTTTTCCTAATCTCTTCCCATCTCTCTGAAACGTCTCGTATTCTAAATGCCACCTTGAGTGACTGTAACAGTTTGAAGTGCACAGGAGGGTATTGTGTTACTAACCATCTTTTTTTTACAAGCAGCTGTGGTGGTTGAAGTCCTCTACCAAGCAGGTCTACTGTAGCATGTGTCAGTATATTACCTACTATCTCACTTTTTGAACCCCCCTCCCCTCCTCCTCTTTTTCATTACCCTGCTCCCTGCACCCCACCCCCCTGCAAACTCCCACTTCCAACAGAAGCTCAGAGTAAACCCTACTACTCAGATTACTCCCCCACCCGCCTGCTCATCCACAAGATGTGCACCAGCCACTACCTGGACCTGTTTATCACTATCGTCATTGGCCTCAACGTCATCACCATGTCCATGGAGCACTACCAGCAGCCCAAGGTCAGATGTTGATGATGTGAAGTGGGGTCCTGGGCCTCGGGGGGGGGGGGGGGGGGGGGGGGGGATGCTACCATGTCATGAAAACAATAGAGAAAAGTAATGGAACAAAAATAAAAATGAACTAATAAAGTTTTTTTATTCATCACTGCATATCGAAATACGTGTTATTTTGGGGTGCCAATCTTAAAAAAATAACACACACCACGTTAGCCAATCAGAATCGAGCAACCGCTTTGGCTGACATAGATAAATCAGAAATCTGCTGTACCAATGAAAACTAGCTACCTATGTCCTGTTTCATAAAAAAAAAAAAAAAAAATCTTCAAAATGTAATAACAAAGTCTCTTTATTACAGGACACAGGCATATTGATTATTATTAATGAATAACACGAGTGAAAACTTCTCAATGATAATATGTTTACTTGTTAAGACAGAAGACTGTTTACAAAAAGTAATTGCTATAAAATGAAGAAATAACAAGATTGTTATTGGATATAAGGAAATGTATTAAGACATTTTTGGATATTTTACATTATAATGTACAAGCAACTCAAGACATTTTGTAAAGGGGGGGGCGCTAGAGGCTTATCCTATTTGATTAAGTTTTTCTTTTTAACATTGGAATGATCAGGTTGTTTTTAGTTAATAATAAATGTACTGTAATAAGGTCTTACATTGGCCTTTAAAGATGAATCCATTTGGAATATTCATTAATCCTTCAATAGAAGACCAGGTCTAGGTTTTCAGAGGGTCACAAGGGCACACTTGTTCATTAAAAAAAGGAATGAGGTCAATAGAAAAAATAAATGAAAGTAAGATAAGAATCATTGTAACCTGATAAGGGAAGTGATAATTAACTTTAAAGTGGGGTCAAAGTAATAAAGATGAGATAATTAAACAGTTGAGAAAAAAAGAGAAGACGTTAAATAAATGGTTTGAATGCTGCCAAAGGTATTCATCATTAGATTCAAGTCAAATGTATTAATATATATTTACACCATGGTGTGGTAAAGATACTTTGGACTTAAGTCCATATTCAGTGACAGAGAAGATGAGACAAATGTGGCTTAAAAAAGGTAAAACAGAAGAATATAGAAAGGGGTTAAAGGATACACAGTGCCGGTAAAGGCATGGTGGCTTAAAATAGGGTGGAGGTAGAAAGGGATGTATCCCAAACTAGAAGTAGCTGTTAGCGGATAAAACTCTACCACTCAGGATTTAGAAAAACCCCTGTAGACCACTAATTCCACCCCCCCATTTCGCTTCTAAAGGTCAGTTTTTACATCCAGATGGGCGCTGTGAATTCTCCCATAGGCAAAATTGGACACTTTGATTTTTATGGCCTTTTCATTAAGAAAGAGGGTGGGGAAGGCGATGTGAGAAATCTATTAATAGAGCTGTTAATATTGGAGAACAGAAATGATGCTGCCTCACAAATTTCACACTAACCTGATATGCAACACGCTAAAAGAATATCTCTAATTTTTAAGTTTGTCCAAAACTTTGAAAATGTATGTGAGGGAAAATTACTGGAGGGAAAAAAACAAACTTGTAAAAAATACAGTATATAACAATTTCACTAAAAGACAGCTCTGACAAAATGCCAATAAATCTTTGATTTAAGTTAATGTATTACACTGGACTCTTTGCTCGGCTTGATTTTACAGACTACAACAGTTACAACTGTCAACATTCAACGAGGCTACAAGGAAGGAAGATACAAGTATCTGAAAAGACAGGCTATTTTTAATTATTGTAAAATATGTTGTAGTTCATAAAATAGTTAGGAATGTGCGTGACTAGCCGACTGAACAGACAAATGTCGTCAACCATCGCTAGTTTGCACCAGGATTACTAGTTGGTTAGATTAATTATTACTGTATTTAAACGTAAGCAAACATTGCCGGTCACATATTGTGCTCAAACTTTAACGCAGCTACCCAGCACTAGTGAAGACTGTAGCAATAGATGGCTGTATGCCCAGAAAGTGGGCCTTCTCCTCTGGCTCTACTGCCAGGATGTAAACAAGCCCAGTGAATGAATAGCATCTCATAAGAGCAGCATGGTATTTTGATCTAGAAAAACAAGATAAAAACTAGGTCAGGTTAAACTGGCATATGACCGGATTAAGGCGTTACCATATTTAGTACGGACATGTTGACGTTAATCTACAAGGAGGACCAAAGGCTTTGGTGCTAGCACTGCTAACTTTAGCCACACTCTGCAAACCAAAAAACAGTGTTTACCCGCAGATTTGAAAAAAATAAATTGTTCTAAATTTTACTGTTTTCAGAGTTTTTTGTTACACTTATAAGTCTGAATTTATATATCCGTTTAACGGACTAGGAAATTAGTCACGAGGAACATCAGTCATAATATTTAGGTTGTGCATTTTGGAACTAGCAGAAATGTAAATTGTAGACCCTCTGGAATTTCAAAGACCGCAAATTCAGGACTATTATATATCATCTCAGCAAAAATATCAACCATGCAAGCCACTGAGAATAACTGTCATTCCAACGTGTTATTGTTTTTTCATGTAGTTTCTTATAATGAAACAAATAACTCTGTCTGCTAAAATGAAAGAAAATAGAATATCTGGTAAACTGATTTGTTAGGACTGATACTTGTGCACTTTATTAATCCTTCATTTCTTTCTCCCTTGACGTCCTCAGGAGTTGGATGAGGCGTTGAAGATCTGTAATTATATCTTCACCCTCATCTTTGTTCTGGAGTCTGTCTTCAAGCTGGTAGCTTTCGGCTTCCGACGCTTCTTCAAGGACAAGTCAGTATTTAAATACCTTGCTCCCAAATGTAATGACCTTTTCCCAATGAATCTCGCACATATTAGAGACTAAAAACCTGGATTACCATTTACCCCCCCATTTGAGGGGTCGACATTGTAGTGGGCGTGATCTTCCAACAGACTTGTGGTTAAAGGTATTGTTTTTTCAAGTGGAAAATGTGAGGCTGCTTTCAGAGACTTTAAATGAGCTTTTTTCTAAGGTGCTCCAGTGGACGGTTCTCAGCGAGTCTTGTATGAATACAAACTGCCTCGTTAAACACCCATAAAACCTGCAGCCTTAGATGATTTCATAGCTTTGAAATCCCTGGCTTCCTGCTGAAAACCACACAATAATGCACAAACGAATCACAACAGTGCAAATAGATACCAGCACACATTGCACACTCAGAGATACACACACTATACTACACATCTCACAGGAGGAAATGTTCTTTTGGACCAGATCTGACCACCAATGGCTCCATGAAGCCCATTCTCTTTGCCAGAGTAAGCCATTTTTTCTTGGTTTTTGCATTTGGCAGTGGTTCAGTTGGATATCAGCTCACTACCCACTCACTTGATTCATACACTTTGAACATCTTAATGAGGATATGAGGGATATAGAAGGGAGTGGAGTATTAAGGAAAAGTAATAATGGAAATGGACTAATCGGATCAGTTTGACCACCCAAGACTATTTACGCTGACCATTTCTCACATTGTTCCAACATTTTGTTCAGCACACATTTATTGCAAACAGACGAGAACATTTAATTTGGTCTCAACACTTCCATTTTCAAGTGAAGTCAGTATCTGGCAAAGAATGATTCTTGTTTTCTTTTATAGATATTTAAAAAATATATCTCTTGAGCAATATCAATCACCCCTTTTTCCATTCAAGGTTGAAAAACAATCGCTCACCTCCTCACAGAGCTTGGCTTCCTGTTGTTGACATTAAATGACAAAAACAGAACATGATAAAAAAAGTATTGAAATATCCAATATAACTCATCAAACCAATCCTTAAGCTTGTCTTAATTGAGCCATATGTCCAGCAGGCTACACAAACAATGGTTAGAATTTGATACTGCCAGTAGATTGTCTGGTCAGCTTAGTCCAACGACACACACCAGGTTGAAACAGCAAGCATTGCTCTGCATAAAGATGAATACAATCCACCTTCCATTATCTCTAAAGCTAACTAATTAACACATTATATCTCGTCACTGGGAAGTTGCCAGGCGACCAGCACAGACTCCACGAAGTAACGGCACATGGCCAAGAAACAATTTGGCACACAACCTTCAGTAACTTTAGTTTTTGTACAGATTAAACAAACAAGATAAGTGATGCTAATTGTTGAGCTCTAGGGGAGCAGGTATGTGGGTTTTGTTATCTTCAGAAGTCTATTATAGCCTTCTGTTGCTCAGTTAAGTGAAACTCTCTTAAGTTCTAGTGAAAACTGGAAACCTATTCCTCATGCTTTATTGATGTTTTTTTTGTTAATCAGCTCCCCTGAACAGCTACTTTAGCAAAATGAGTTATCTTCAGAACTTTTAATTTTAAGTATTCAAACCCAGGGCTTAAATATGTGTGTTTTTTTGTCCTAATTGGCACATGTCAGTTAAGGTGTTTGTCTGAATCTAATGTATAAACGTTGGCGTCCCTAAATGTGTGGTTGAGTGGTGCTCAGATGGGCATTGGGAGCTAACACGCGTGAAAAAGTTACCCTTATTAAAGAAACGATATGTAGGATTTCAGTCTGTGCGCTTTGGCGCCAAGGATTGATGCACCTTTATATACAATATCCAAAGTCGTTGTGAGAAGCCGAAGAACCATGTCGACTGACAAGGTTCAGTAACCTTGCTGGATTTTGAGCTAATAGGACTCTGCAAGCGTCTTCAGCCTGTTTGCATGTGGAGTATATTTATTCAACTGTTGCCATGACAGTCAGTGAGTAAATGGCTACATCGGAGAGGCTAATTTGTTACATGCTACTTTATATAGATATGTAAGGCTTATATTTTCAAATTTACAGTATGTCTTAAACAGTTATACATCTAACTTGAAGATCGACAAGGAAAGAGACAACTTCTTGACATAAGATGGATTTATTTATTTATTTGGATTCAGGCCTGAGACATAACTTGCTGTACCCGATAAAGCTGCTAAACATGAGACAACAATGAAGTTATCTGACCTGTTAACCTATATCACCTTAAGTCCGGTCTCTGTGACCGATATCATTACTATGTGAGAGTATCAGAAATGGGTTGTTTGCATCCGTTTCAGCTCCAGTTGAACCCAAGTTGTGTTTTTGTGTAGGTGGAACCAGCTGGATCTGGCCATAGTGCTGCTGTCCATCATGGGCATCACTCTGGAGGAGATTGAGGTCAACGCTTCTCTGCCCATCAACCCCACCATCATCCGCATCATGAGAGTGTTGAGGATTGCACGTGGTATGTACCCCTGCTTTTTGTGTGCCCATCCCCTCCACTTTGCCTCCACTCTAAAACCTGCCCAGCACACTCCCTCACAGACACACGCTCTGGGCTGTACTTTTAAGATGCTTTGTAAAACAGCCGCGTCTCTGGGACTCCCCACTTTGTCATTTTTGCATGGCAGGTCTCAGCAGGTTTTGCGCAGGGTGTGAGTCGACCAGATGGCACAGAGAAACACACTCAGCTGACAAACAAAGCTCAGAGAACGGGCAAGGGGAGAGAGAGAGAAATACTGAGAGAAAAACAGAAGAGATGTGAGGACAGATAGCTGAGGGTGGAGGGGAGCCAAGAAACATTATGACAGTAAGTGAATTAAACAGTGAGAGACTGAGACAAGGTATGAAGGGGAAAATGAGAGGAGGAGGGCAAGAGAGGAGATATGAAAGGAGCAGGCAGGGATGATGAATAACTACTTTTCAGTAACTAGATAATGAAAGATGGAAAGAAGTTGGGAACAATTGATGTTAGAGTGAAAAAGTTAAGATGAGGTCAGTGAGGATAATAAAAGATCAATTAACTGAGATAAGGTATGTCACTGCAAGCGTGAAACAGAGAACATTCTGTGTATCTGGAGAGAGATTAAACGCTGAAAAAGGGTGAAGGAGGCAGGGAATCAGGCAGGTTGAGTTATAAAGACGGGGTGGACTTGGCAGGAGGAGAGAAGAGGGAGGAGAAGGCTAAACCTGCAGTGTTCTTCAGGCTGATTGCTGTCCAGGTAATTAAAGATAAGAGAAAGCTGGAAGGAGGAAACAGAAGGAGGAGACCCTTAAAGCTGGGAGAAAGAAGAGATAAATGTGGCAGAAGAGAAGCTTTTCTGTTTTGGCTGATGACTGAATGTTTAATAAGAGAAGTTACACAGAAATCAATATTCATTTCTGTCAAACAGACGACGGCCCAGAGCTGTTGTGTGGAGTGAGTGTGTGGGATTAAGTTTGGTGTCATTACGGTTGTAACCATCTTCAAGAACATGATACTTTTCATACCAAAATGATACAATCTGTTTTAATGATCAATAATAATAATACTCATGATTGATTATCTAACCAGTTCTAACTAATCTAATTCTAACAAAGCTGCTTCGAGCAAAAGAGAGAGAGCAGTGGAAAGTCTATTTTGGAGTCTCATAAAGATGCAAAAGTTATGTTAAGTTACTGTCTGTCTATGTTTAGTTTCTGTCTGTAACTGACTGCTACTGTTTATTATGTTAGTTACTCTCTAATCAAACAGAGAGCAGAGGAGTCGACAGCGGACGAGACATTAAGTTCCACAAATACATCGTCAACGTTTCATCATTGTATGTGACTGTGTGCAGAAGTTTAGTGGCAATTCTTGGTAATTAAAAACAAGAAATGACCCAATAATTGGTGGATATATTCGGACTTCTACTTTTGTTGCTATGTATCCAAACAGGTATTGGTATTGTTTGATTTTTATTGGTAGGGCAAAGTTTAACACCCAGTTTCTGTCATCTATTCAAGGTGCATTCAAATTCATCTTGGATAGACGTTGTTAAGCTTCACTAATTTGCAGAAGGGGTTTATTGTCACCTTCATTGTCATTGACTTTTCTCGTAGATACCTCAGAAGCTTTGTTACTTTTTCTGTTTTTTGTTTCTTTTATCTTACTTTTTTTACTTCATGAAAAATATTGTTGAATATTTTGAACAGTTATCAAAGCCAGAGAAATAGTAGAATATAGTTGTGACGCCCCGGACATGATTATCGTTGCCAAGGAAACACCGGATGCTACGCCAAAGACCGCTGCATTAGGAAGTGGGAGCTGCTACTGAAAGCTGCCGTAGTGTACCTGTATGTGCTGCTGTGATAAAACTTGGATACATTCCTCAGTTATAATCTAATTGACAGTATAGTTCAATCCATAATGCATGCAAGACGCTGCAAAAATATGACATAACATGTTATGTTCCATTTTCTAGGTAACCATTTCAACCCATACCCTCTCTAGCTCTTTTCTAAAGGGCAGCGTTCCACTCAAGGGCACTCCAAAAATCTAGGGTTAAGACCAAGTGGGTGAAATTAGGATTGGGCCTCATTACACCCAGGAGAGCATGAGGTTGCCTTGCAGTGAGTTAGAGAAGCAATTTTCAGAGGGCTGATTGTTTGGATCTCAGAAAGTAGCAGAGTGGGCGGCCACTCAAGAATCAGGATGCCTTTAGTTTTGGTGCAGTTTTCAATCGCCCTTCAGAGAAGAACATATCAATGGATATGTTACACCACAAAGACTTACAGGCTCACGCAGGGATCACAAGATTTGATATTTCATCTACTTATACATTTATAGCCATACTCAATGTAATATATTAACAGCTAACTTCTTTCAGATGGTAAAGAAATCAATTACTTACTGCTTACTCACCCATACATGTTGCAGATAAACACATTTGTATGGTTTCTTTAACCAATAGATAAAATGATAATGTAAAAAAACTGTCTGGTTTAACAGGTTTCTACTTCCTGTAACTCTTTCTTGATCTCCAAGGTAACCAGCAGAGGTTTAAACAAGGACAAGAAACATTCTCAGTCTTATATACACCTCTACTACTCCATTTATTTTCATTCATTTTCTGTTATTCCTGGTGTAACTCCACGGTTAGGTTATGCCAACGCCTCCCCTCATCAAGCAGCAACCCCATTCAGGAAGACATGACCTCAATCAGGCCGTCTGAAAGCTTAATGTTGTTCAATAAAAGGACATTTCTAACAACATTAAAAGAAGATTAGCGTGTCAGTGAGGAAAATGTTGGTTAATTTCAGTGTCACAAAAAGGCGTGGTGGCAGAACAATCATGTCATTGTGTGTGTGTGTGTGTGTGTGTGTGTGTGTGTGTGTGTGTGTGTGTGTGTGTGTGTGTGTGTCTCCACAGTACTGAAGCTCTTGAAGATGGCTGTCGGGATGAGAGCTTTGCTCGACACCGTTATGCAAGCCCTGCCCCAGGTAATCGTCAATCCTGTATAGAATAACATCCACTAAAGCCACTGACATTTCTTCTCGCTCTACATTTTGCATTCCTCTGCATGGATATTTCACTACCTAGCATGTCCCCCCTGAAGCTGCCCCTAGAGTTAAATCCCACATGCATCTCCTCATTGGAACATATTCCCTTGTCTCAGTGTGCCGTTGTTTCCCTCGAGTTCCCTTTTTTGCCAGTTTTAGATATCTTAATTTGCATAGACAGTCCCCCAACAGGGACTGAAAAGCCTGAGGTTTTGTTCTGAATAATGGTGGGTTGATTTTAGAGTGGTGGAGTTGGTAAATTGGAATAACTCTGTTGTAATTGAAAAAAAAGAACACTAAGTCCTATGTTCTCAGCCATCTTTGATACCACCTCTATCACTTAGAGAAATCTTGTGTGTTAGTCAGAGTTTTTTTGATACTTAGAGAGGGACATGATATTTCAGGAGGAGAGAGTGTGGGATGACATGCAGCAAATTTGGGAAGAGGTCGGATTTGAACCCATGGCCGCTCTGATCCGGACTATAGCCTCTGTACATGGGGTGCATGACATAATAAATGACCATAATAAAAAAATATTAATTCATTCATTCCTAGAGCTTATAAAAAGTGCTCCTAATTGCTTAGGCTGGGAATAGGTTGCACTATGATATAGCTCTCTTGTGCTAAAAGGCATTAACAGCAGGAGAAGCACAACTAAAAGCCTTTCTTTATTTTACATACTTTATTAATCCCTGAGGGGAAATTCTGGTTTTACACTCCATTATTGAGAGGCATGCTTCTCACACACATAGGCCCGAAATACACACATGCACAAACAGGATCTAATGGAGACATGTCAGAGTGAGGCTGCTACACAGGGACAGCCGAGGCTGTTGGGGGTTTCCTTGCTCAAAGGGTACCTCTGCAGTTCTCTGGAAAAGTCTTTAACCTGCTTTTTGTAAAGTGTCTCAAGATAACACTTGTTATCAGTTGACGCTTTACAAATAAGGATTGATCGAAATAAATTAAGATTGATCTGGCACCTCTGTAGCCAGCAGAGCAGCATCCATTCTTACCTGGACTTGAACCGGCAACTCTCCTGTTCCCAACCCAAGTTCCCAAGTCCCTTCAGACCGAGCTACTGCCACTCCAAAGCTCATCAAACCTTTTCTCCTCATCTTTTCTTCGATCTTAGAGTTAGCTACTGTTACTCTCCTGCAATAGTCAATCATGGCAAGTCAAGGAAGACACATATAGTCTGAGATGATTGACAGGCAAGACAAAGCAGTCACATGTCCTCAAGCTATCTGTCAATTGTGTTGGCTCAAATCCCGACTGTGTCTGACAGATATGTCAACAACTTGTAGCTTCATTCTAAAGCTACCACTGGGAATGAGTGCGTTAAAATGCTCCATCCATCTGTTGGCAACACTTTGATTATGGAAGACCTGCAAATAAAGGCACAGCCCTGTTTTTGTTTGCAATGTACCTAACTCAGTTTAACCAATGATTGCCAAACATTTAAACTTTAAAATGAGTTTGATTGCCCTGACATAAGTGTATACTCGCTACCAAATCCAATAGAGCAACACATAGCTGCCTTATTTGGCTACACTATAGTACAACTCTAGAACAAGGCATATTTATTTCCTTTTTAAAGATATGTTTTGGGCATGTTTGCGAGAGTGGGGGATGACATGCAGCAAAGGGATGTGGTCAGATTTGAACCCAAGGCCGCTGCGCGATGAGGACTAAAGCCTCTGTTCATGAGGCGCGCTACATCACCGCTAGGCTATCGGCGCGGTCATTCTCTTTATAACTAACATATCAAATATGGCAAATAAGCTTTAAATATGTCTCTTAAGTTTCTTACTCTCACGCTGGATCCCATTGGAGCCACATTCTCAAAGCTTCAACTTGCAGAGATCCTAAACTTTAGCTATTTTTTTAAATTGGCAATAATGTGGGTGGGTTTTTAGTCAACAGTCATTTTCTAGCCTTTATATTCTGCTCGCTGCGTCTTTGCTTTGCTGTTTTCTCTCTGACATGAATGTTCTGTTTGTAGTCCCTTGTTACTGGATTTTATTTTGCCTCTGATTGTCTCTGCTCTGACTAATCTGGCTGTCTTCCTGTTGTCTCTCTGCAGGTGGGGAATCTGGGTCTTCTCTTCATGCTTCTGTTCTTTATCTTCGCAGCACTGGGAGTGGAGCTGTTTGGTGACTTGAGTAAGGACATATGCACCGTGCATACAGGCAGACAGGCACACCAGACAAGCGCACACAAAGCTTCACACACACACACACACACACACACACATACACACACATACTGTACACCACTCGGGCCATGCACCGAGTAGTTAATTCACCCCTGTGTGAGTTCTAATCTATCTGATGTTAATTGCTTCCTAAAACCCTTTGTTGAAACGCCATATGGATTTCTCTAATTGAAGCTTGTAGCTGTCAGAGCAATAAAATAGTATTAGAGCTCATTATCATCTCATTTCAAAGCATTATGTTTTGATAACTGAAAAGCCACGGAAGTATCTCCAAATGTTGAAGTCTCTGTTTTGTTTTCTGTCTCACAACCCGTCCCCGTCCCCTACCCCTCCTTGTCTCCCCAGTTTGTGATGAGCTTCACCCATGTGAAGGTTTAGGGCGCTATGCTACATTCAAAAACTTTGGGATGGCATTTCTGCTGCTCTTCAGGGTTTCCACTGGAGACAACTGGAATGGCATAATGAAGGTGAAACTAACACTGCAGTCTCAGATCGCATCTAAAGTGGCATTGAGGACCACCTAAGGAAAATCAAGGGTTAATGTGTTTGTACATCATTTACTGGAATAGCTATAATCTATTTCAGCGAGCTGTATGGCTGAATATCTGTCAATTCTGTGGATACTACTTGTAGGGGGAAATTAAATTTCTCTGCTCTTGTCATTTTTCCACGTTTTTTTTTTTTTCCAGGACACGTTGAGAGACTGTGCAAACGAATCCGGTACCTGCTACAACACTGTGGTCTCTCCTCTCTACTTTGTCTCCTTCGTTTTGACTGCTCAATTCGTGCTGGTGAACGTCGTCATCGCTGTCCTGATGAAGCACCTGGAGGAGAGCAACAAGGAAGCCAAGGAAGAGGCCGAGCTGGAGGCCGAGCTGGAGCTGGAGAACAGACTCGCGATGGACGGGGGAGACGCGATGATGAGGTCGCCCCAGCTTAACCCTCTGGCACTGGGCATGGACAGGTCCAGCTCTGGGGGTTCCCCCTCGAGGTCCACAGGAGGAGGGGACAGGGAGCAGGACAGGGATGGTCCCATGGACTCACCCACTGCTAATATACCCAGAGACCCAGTAAACATTACAGCAGATTCCCCTTCATGCCTAGAGCACCAACCAGAGGTAAGGAATCTTTGTTTTAGTGGATTCAAGCATCATATTTGAGTTTCCATGTGGACTGTATTGTACATTGGTTACAAATTCTTAAAGCATATTGAATGCACAGCGCCCTTCCTCGAAATATATTTCAGCTTATTTCCCGATAAAGTGTACAATATTTCTCTATTGTATAGCTGCTGTAAATATTGTATTGAGACTTCTCAGTAGTCTACACAGCGTCCTATGTTGCCATGACAGATGCTCTGAGGTCACTTCCTGCTGGGGGGCCAGGCTGTGCAGCTGGTCAGGTGACCCCTAACTCTCTGGTCATTAGTTCTGACTGCAGTCCAAACCATAAGTTAGTTTTCTGGCAGGTGGAGGGATGCTGAGAAAGCTGCTTCGTTTGCTAAATGATGAGAATGCGTCAGAGGAATGTCTCTTCACTTTTTCAATATAGTAACAGTAAATTCACATGTGTGGATATACGGCCATATTAAGAAATATATATTTACTTAACTTATTGAAAAGAAGTTTGTAAATGAATCTGATGCCATCTACACGGCGCCATAATAGCATCCCCTCCCACCACCCCATACAGTCTCCTCACGTCGACACACTTGTTTGAAAGTGACTTTGTTGTGATTTCTGTAAAGTCTGTCATGTGTAATAATGTACACATTATGCCGACGTATTCTCTGAAACCAATGCCGACCCACATCAGGACTGTTTACGGTTTGTGTGAGCGCATGGCTGTGTGTGTTTTTGTGTGTGTGTGTGTCTGTCACTGTTCCCTAGAGGACATGCCAGTCAAAGAGAGGTCACAGTGCCATGGGAAAGCTGGACCACAGGGCCTTGTTGTTCACTTCAACAGCTATTTCTAGACAGCAGGGAACTTTTTGGGGATAGGAAATAGAGGTCTCGCAATCGTTGTCTGAGATGTTATCAGTACCTCCTCCACTTCTCCTCCAAACATTTTGTTTAAGCGGCTGCCTCCCCTCCCACCCGTGGGAGACCGGCTCCACTGCAGTGTTGCAGTGCACTCTTGTGGAATTGAATGGTATTGCAAAAGAGCCAGATATGTGTGAGTGAAATTTGCATGTGCTTTATAATTTGTGTCTGTGTGCGTCTTAAAAGTCTTAACAAGTTATTGGTTAAAACACAAAATCAAACACTAATTGAGGCTAAGTTTTATAGATGAATAAATTCTCCTGCTGTCTTATTTCTGTTTGTATCGATGTGTTTCTTCTTCATTGATTGTCCTCTTCCTTCCAATCTTCTTCCAATGTTTATATATGTGTGTCTGTTTCGACCTTTGTCCTTCCCCCTGGTCCTTGTCTTATTTTGAAACTTCTGTTGTCCCCCCCTTTTCTCTTTCTTCTCTCTCTTTTTTTTACATAAGTTTGTCCAACGGAGGGCGCTGTTTGACTCGATTTCCCTGGTCATCCAGGGTTCAATGGAGGGAGAGTTGAGTTTGATGGACAACCTGTCCGGCTCAATCTGCCACTACTACGCACTGCCCCCCATGCCGAGCAAGCACAGCACCGACAAGAAGGTCAATAATCACCAGAGCGATGACTCACTTCCTCCATTTCATACATTTATTGGGCCTTTTTTTCTGTCCAAACATGTAGGGCTGCACAAGTGATCAGAAGGGTTAAACTAGAAGAAAATTAAAGTACACAGTTGTTAGTTTTTGATTATTAAAAACACTATAAAAAAAATAAAAAAAAGTTTTCAGATACTCTAGTTTCCTCTAATCAAAGCAAAGACCACATAGTCATTGTTTTAAATGCCTAAGTCAGGTTATGTTCACTTACATTATATAAAATCTCAGTTTAACAGTGTTTTTCCCCAATAAAATCCAAAGACACATTTTATCTCAGGTTTTAAGATTTATGCCCCGAGCCCCAATGTCAACATATGTAGTGAATGTTTTGTTTGAGGGTTTTGGGGGGTTTCTTTTCTCATGGCATTTAATAACATGTCAAATAAAAAGCAAATATATTTTCACTACTGCTACTTTCAGCTAAAGGTAAAGTGCCTACAAAAATATCCATAGGGTGTTCTGTTCAGTGAAACGCATTTCTTACAGGTGTTTATTGTTGCTATGTTGCAGAACTTCTGCCATCCTCAGTAGGGACCATTAGGTCTGTTTTTAAATATCTATGTGTGCTTAATATTCCGTCATTCAAGGACATATCACCAAGAAAGCTTTCACTTTACTCTAGAGTTAAGTAAGACAAATCATTATTATAATTAGGAAGAAATGGCTAATTCTATAATGACGATTGATTCACAGATATTGAAATGAGCTTGGCTAACTTTTGAAGTAATAGATTTTTATGGATAACAGAGGACATTATCTCAACTCTTTTGGCAAAATACACCACTTACATTAATGAAAATAAAACTGTATGACTCAGTACCAGACTTTTTTATTTACAGACTGATAGTTTTCAGAGTAAGTCATGGAAAATGTAAAAAAAAAAAAAAGAAATCCTTCTGATGGTTTCTTTATAATATGCATTCCTCCACAATGAATGCTTTTCCCTTTCTTCCCAGACCGATAGCCCAACAAACAGCAGTGCGTCATAACCCGCCTCAGCTGTGATCGAACTCCCTAGCTCACATCTCCACTCCTTCATATTCATCCATGCCTGTCTGCTTTTGTGTCTTGTTCATCAACCTCGGTGACATAGTTAAGAGTTCGCTCTGTCTCTTTGATACAACGTTGTGTGTGTGTGAGACGGTGTCTGTAGTTAAATGTGGCATGTTTGTGTGTATATAAATGTGTGTATGCAAAACTGTAGCAGCAAAATGGCAACACAACAAAGGTGTTACTAAAGCTTTTAGTTCAGCCTCTTACACAGAATTCTGCGGAGCAAAGACTCAATCAATAAACAATAGATCGCTGAGTCACTGAATTATTCATCAGGGGGACTCTCCTCAACTGATTGAGAATTTTGACCAATTACATCAGCATGCTCCCATCTTCTAAGAGCTTTGTTGGGATTGCGACGTCGTGTCGTTATAGACTCTGTTGGAAAACCTCGCTCTACTTCAACTTTGAAGTAGAAGACAGAAATGTTTTCTATTCGTCCTTTGCTTAGATGGCCCATCTGCCTTTCAGAGAGCACTCCTCATAATGCCAAATATAACGTTTTTCTATAAACAGAAGGCAAACATTACATTATCTTTTAAACACAGAAAGACAATCTACAATCGTCATCGATCCCCAGCTCAGATGCATGTTTGGTTTAGCAAAAAAGTGTGTTTTAAATCCTGTCAAACAGTTTGTTTGCTGTTCAGATTCATAAGGCTGCTGTTTGTATTCTGTGTGTGTGTGTGTGTGTGTGTCAGGGGTAAATCCAGGCCATGACCAGGGGTGACCTGCAAAATCCCAAACTGTGATTTGTTATTCTCCCACATCGTAACCTTGGTTCTCTATCGTCTCAAGACTATCTCTCCAGCCTCGGACGTGTGATGTAACGGGATGGAGGGATAGTCTCGAGACGATGGAGAACGTAGAGTTACATTGTAACCTTGGTTCTCTGAGTGAAGAGAATATCTCTCCACCCGGTTACATTAAACGTCCGAGGCTGGAGAGATAGTGTCGAGACGATAGAGAACCTCATTCCCCGCCTGTATAGATGCTCAAGTTGGGCCATCTCAGTCAAAAAAGTCTGGATCTACCCTTGTTTTGGTATCTGTGTTTCTAGATGATGTTATATCAATGTTGGTAACCCCTCATTAGAAGCGACACAGTTATAAAAGTCTAGCAGGTGAAGAACCTGCATGTGGTTTCTAGTTCATACATTTTGTCTTTTTTTACTGTTGCTTTGCTCGACTACATACTTCAAGTTTTATGTTTCAAACATGTACTTGTTGTAAACTACAGGTCTTATCAATGTGTAGCGTCCTTATTTCTGTGTGTTACAGAGTGTGCATGTGTTTCTCTGCTCACAAGCCATTGTCTCTTCCTGCCTAGATCCCTCTAGCGGAGATGGAAGCTCTGTCTCTGGCCTCTGAGAAATCGTGGTCCCTAGCTCTGACAGACGACTCGGCCCCCGATGATTTTAACCCCTTCTTTCTAACCAGTCTGGAATGCAATGTACTGACAGTTCATCTCTTTCTCTTTCTCCACCTGTCTTTCTCCTCTTGCCCTCTGCAGTATCTTGCAGTTTGTCCTTTCCCAGGGCACTTCCAAAGCCTCTTGTCCTTCCACGACTCTCACAAACAGAATTACTACAGACTCAGGGTGAACCAGTGGGTGCTTACTTCTCATTTGCAGTTTTACTCCCAGCACAATAAAAATAAATTAAAGCAGATGCAGTATGTTTACATTACAAAGGATCCCATGACTACTTATTGCGTTTCTCCTATGAATTGACACAGAAAATTATTCCCTTACTTCAGTTCTGCCCAGGTCAAATAGCGTCATCTCTTTTTATCTTATTGTATTCTCACGTCACTGTTTTTTTTTTAACTGTCACGAGTGCATTTTTGGCTAAAAAATGTCCTTTAAAGAAATTTAAAAAATACTGTCCCATAGACTTCAAACCAGAGGTTTGTTGGTCAATGGCTCAGTAATGACAAATGTATCACACGCATAAGTATAAATAAAACTAGATACTTCGGATGGTCTCACTATATAGCAGCCTCTGCCATCAGTGTGAGAATGTGTAGAAGACTAGAAAACTGCTATACAAGCTCAAATCCATTTACCATTTAGATTCAATAGTTTTCTATAGTATTGTAATGTTAACAAAGAAAGGTGCATGTTAACAACTTTGGAGTCCATGATTAAAGCTTAGCTTACTAAGTTCAATAACTTGACTTTAAAAACATAACAGAACCAAATAAAAATAGGTCTTACCCTGTAAACGTATACATGAATGCATCTACAAATCCAGATTTGACTGACAGGAAATGAGTTAGAAAATAATATATTACAATTCTTCCACCACTGTCGAGGGTAAACCACCATTAAAAATGAGGGCTATAAAGTTTCAAATTTTTAGAAGTACATTGTATGCCACTTGGCAAACATTTGCATTAAGAGGGCATGGTATGACCACATTGACAACCTCTAAATGTTTTGATTTGAACTTTGATAGAGCTGCTTGGATGACACTTATAGTGCTCTTATTTACCACCTCTACCATTAATCCCTGTTGCCAGGGCACATTGTCATGCATTGGCTTTGGATTAATCCATACCTAGAGATCATGCCTTTGTCATTGAGGTAAAGGACATCTCCGTCCAAATTGAAAATGAATTGAATGTCATCTGGTTGTCTGCGTATAATTAACAACCACTTTTGCTCATTAAGATCGCATCACATCCATGAGTTATCATGTCTCCACCCAAAGAGGGTCACAGTAACCTTGGCCATTGCTGCACCATCAGGCTTGTGATGCAGAAAGGTATTGTTAAGTTATATCATTGATCTCAGGACCAGAGATCCTCAGCCAACACATGACATGAAATCACTGTTAACTGGATTGTGCTGGGAGAATGTTAAAGAAAAGGAAGAGACAAAAGAGGGAGAGGAGGGCAAGAGGCGCTGAAAGACCCTGTTGAATCTAATCATGTGCCCTCCAACTTTCTCATTCCACCTTTCCAGCCTAATGTGTGTTACTCTGCAGTCCAGTCCAGTCCAGTCCAGTCCAGTAGAGTAGTGCGCCTCCTTCCAGTTTACAGTTTTCTCTCCGTCGTCTCTTCTCCTCTCTCTTATTATTTTCTCCTGTCTCTCTCTTTACTCTTTAATTCTTCAGCTCTTTCTCTCTCTGTCCCTTTCCTTCTTCCTTTCCTCCGTTTTCTGTCTTTTCCTCTGTGCTTTACATGTTAGTCCAAGTCTTCTCTCACTGTCCTTCCCAACCTGACTTGTTTTGTGTTCAATTGTCTTCTGTCCTCGGCATTGTCGTGGTTTGAAGTCCTCTCTTAATTGTCGTGTTTGAAACCTGGTTGGAGCTCCAGGTGTTCTGGGATGAATGGTTTGTAATTG